GAAAGAGAGGCAGCCTGAAGTCTGAGAAATGCTTTTGTAAGCAAATACTCGGAACAGCGATTTCTCATTTTCCAAAGAGACATGAAGATGGTCAGTGTTAACTGTTGCATGGCCAGTGGGTCACCATTCGTATTATTTCAATGGAAGAAAGATCTCCCCTGTTCTCAGTGAGGCTGAGGGCTATCTAACGTCACCAATTAAACTTCACTGCAGAATTTATACATACTTTTTAGTCTTACAAGAGCTGTAAAGTCAATAAATATCACATTATGACTGTAAAGTCAATAAATATCATGTTAATGTTCTTTTCTCTCCAGCCAAAGCAGAATCTATTTTGCAGCGCACTGTCTTACATTTTATTTCAGGCAAATCTAGAGGTTGAGCCTGAGTACACACAGGAGGACATATGCAAATGTGCTGAAGTCCACACAAATGAAGGTGAGAACCATTTCAGTTATAAAATCATATTCTGCCTCCTTCTGACTGGCTTGCACCTAACTCCTTCCTTATCATATTGAGCCTGATCCTACTCACTTAAAACAATGGAGCTCCACGAAAATTAGGGAGCTACACCCTGATTTATACTAATATCCACTCTTAGGAATTGATAATTAAACATTGTGTTCAATAATTAGCAATAGGAAAGCAAAATACGAGGAGGTTCAAAGCCTATCAGTTGATGGGTAATAGAGTAAGTTATATTAGGCTGAATTAACATTATATTTTTTCCTTTAATAGAACCAATTGAGTCATTCACTGAAAATGCATTATAGACATTGGCATTTTTTCAAAAAAGATTTAAGTATTTTTCCCATTACCCAGCCAGCTCTCTGTTCTGCCCTGTTACTTTGCCAAGTATTGAAAACGTCTGGGTTTTTTCTACAAAAAAAAGTGATGAGAGCCCAACACTGAGGTTTAAGGTGCTGTTTCAGATCTATCTGATTCTGTACAAAAGAAAACATTAGGAACTAAGTATTTATCTCATTAGCCCTAATTCAGAAATAATCATCATCGTCATCATTAAAATACAAAGGAAATCACTACTATATACAAGTATTCTCTATGCCAAAACGAGCCCAGACAGGGTTTGAGGGAGGTTTACTGCACACTCCCAGGAAACTGGGTGGTCCACAGACACTCAAAACACAAACCCCACGATCCACAGCACAAGACTGAATACTGGGATCCCTCCTCAACAGCTGAATTCTGCTGGTATTCACCCAGGACTAGCAACTACAGGTACAGACAGTAAGGGCTGTAGAGAAAATACCACGAGCATCCGGGCTTGGGGAATGCACCAGTATGGAGAAATTCGAAGTGAGGTTGTCTTGGGATTTTACACACATGCGTGCATTATGTGGAACAGAACTATTCCTCCCTTCTTCCCTTAGTGCCTGCTCTGCTAAGAGAAGCCCAGCATCAGGACCGTGGGCTGGTGGCCACAGAAGATGACAAAACCCCCAGGCACTCTCTGCCTTGCCCACCCCGATTAGAGCCCATAGATTCCTGGCGTCCTGAGCCTTTGCGGTGGGAGCAGAGGATGCAGTGGGGCTCCGATGGCAGAAGGGAATACAAAACAGCCTCTGGGAACAGAGTTTCAATACGCAGCTTTTGAAAAAACGCCAGGAGAGAACGGCTATTTTTCCATGCAGAAGCCTGAATGTGTTTATCTGCAGCTCAGACACAGAATGAATCATGCAAGCATATCCCCAGGCACCAGAGCTGAATCCCAAAGGATTTTCTGTTTGCCTGTGAAACGCCAGCAGACTAAATGTCCAAAGAGGGCTTTAGGACACCAGCTGGAGTTGCAAGCAGCAGACAGTTTGATTGCTCTTTCTGGGCACACACGCATGGATTTCCTGACTCTCAGAGACGTCTTCCTGCAGACATTGAATTTGAAACTTGATGTGACTTAATGCAGAAACCTCTTTGCACAAGAAAAGGACGGTGCTGGACAACTAGGGCTGCGATGTCCTCCATCACACGGGAACGCTGAGTGACCCCAGCCTCTGCCCCCAGGGTTTTCCTTCCCCTGCCCCAGCACAGCAGCCTTGGCCGAGGGGTTCTCTAACCCGCTCCAGCGCTCGCAGTCCTGTGCGGTGCCTGCCCGCAAAAAACAGAATCAGGACCTCCTCCTCAAAAAATATTTCAAAAATGTTTACTTCTGGCTGAGCGGCGCGGCGAGGGCTGGCTAGAAACACTTGCGGCGGGGGCCAGTCGCTGCCCGGCTCCCATGCATCTCTCCCACCTCCCCACCACAGAAAAGTCCTTTTTCTCCCCCTCTGGTTTTATTTTAACTCTTCTTTCCTTCCATTTCGCAATAAAGAAAACACACTGACCTCTATTTTAAAAGCTCGCACTTGTCAACGTCACTGGTAGCAATATAAATCACTACCTCCAGAGCAGAAGGAACCAGATGATTTCAACTTTCATTTCCCAGCAAACCTCCAGAGGTTCATTTTCCCTCCACATTATTTTATCTTTGTCCTAAATTTACAAGTTTCCATTTCTCTCCTTTTTCTTTTTTCCCCAGCTTCCAGACTAAGTTCTACCTTGCAGCTAGAACCATATACCATTACACACAGGAAAATATTTAGCAGTGTAATTCTAGCTTGCTCGGTGTATCATTAAGTACCTGCACACCACACTGAGCAATAACCGACACTAGGAAACATTTGAAATATCCATTGAAGAACAAAACTAGCAGAAAACAGGCAATACTTGAATTATGACTAATTTGTTTAATAATCAGGAATGATACAATGATTTTAAAAAAAATTTTTAATGCAAGTCTTAATTATTCTCTAGGAACTACCTCTTCCTGAGAATTTCCCGTAGGATAGTTTTCACTGGAGAAATTTGTACGTGTAACTGGAATTCAATGTTTCTTTTGAGCAACTTCTAACTTTACAGTTCCATTTACAATAGAATTACCCAGTCGCCTCTAAATCTTGAACTAGAAACTAACGCAAAAGTTGACTGACTCCTTTCACAAAACCCACCTTTCAAGACCCTCCCAACCTCTTTCAATAGGAGCAGGAGGGATGGGGCACCTGCAGAAGGAATTTCCACTGTCTTCCTTCAACAGCTGTTGATGCAAAATACTCCATACACACAAAACTCACACTAAGAGCAAAAATCACTCCTCTGGCAATAGTCTTGCCAGACAATATTAAGAGCACATCTATCAACTTGCTTGCAAATTCCGTATTTTTTATTTTATTTAATTGTAATCTCCCTGTGTATTTTCTTAGCTTTAGGGAAAGGTTTTACCATGTGGAAGAGGAACACAAAGACCACTCTCCAACGTAACCTGAAAGGGACAGTGACAATGCTTGCATTTCTGCAACGATTTCTATAGCTATTTATCTTCTGGCACCGTGAATATGCTACATTGAGCCTTTTACCTTTACAGAACTGGTGACACCTTATCACGACATCATTTTCTCAAGGTGGCCCAAAGTGACCTTGCTCACTACAACAAGTGAACAGTGCTACACCAAACTACACTAAAGGATTACACCAGAAGAGGCTCCTACAACCATGGGACATTTTAAATGACTGAATAAATTAGCACTTTGTGGTGTAAGAGCAATGCTGAATTCCTAGAGTGCACTTTTTCCCCTGGCAATGTCCCAACTGGGGAGAAGAACGTGTGCCCCAAGAACATTTTCCAGCCTTTGGGACTGGGATGTCCTCCACTAGCAGAATTAAGAGTCCTGGTAACAACAGACTTTAATTAAGCACTAAAAATAACAGCAATGGCTTTGCATAAAAAACATTTCTTGACTAAAATGGGAGCAAAATTCCCACAAACACGTATTTGCCTAAGGTGAAAAACATTAAGTTATCCTTCCAGTTCTAATTCTACACAAGACACCAACAGAAGAACTCAAAAGTTCTCTGCATCATTGTAAATACGCTTGTCTGCTGCTGTCCCTTCAGTAACCAAACCAGCGCAGACAGGTCCAGGATTAAAGTTCAGAGTCACTTTAGGGCCACGAAGTTCAACGAGACACTGCATACCCATCATCTGAGGACGGTAGTTCCCTCAGCAGAAGAACCTCAATGAAGGAATGAACACGCTTATGTGCCAAATAACCAAAAACATAAAAAAGAAAAAGCCTTATGATAACATACAACGGAAGAAACCTTAGTTTCTGTTAATTTGGGGACCTCCTCCACACACTACTTTTAGATTAGGATGCTGCAATTTGCACTTTGCCTCAGGTGGGCAGGGTTCATTCCAGAGGATCTTCTCTGGCAGCCCTCTGCCAGGGAGCACAATAATTAATTGATAAGCTTCCCTTTTAATTTCAAAATGCCTTAATTATTTTTACAACACTGGGCTGGTTTTAATTTCATGAACAACATTCTGATTTTTAACTGGCAGCTGAATGGGATCTGTTCATCTGAAGAGCAGCTAAATCACAGTCATGAAAAAACTTACACCTTCTGCCTACGCTTCACATTCATCTACAAAGGTGAAATGCAGATACAGGCAAGGAACTACTATAAAATATTTCCAGTTGCGATTACTCTGTCTCCCATTCTCAAAGGGAGCCCATTTCTTATTTTCTAACTCTGCAAAGCACAGCCTGTTCATCCAGACTTGAGCGTTTGTCTAACTTCACATGTATTCGCAAGGTGCCAGCCAGCGTGGTTTCTGTATTCTGTTCCTAGATAGTTATATTTGTGGTAGCAGGCACAACATAAAAATGAGATAGGGCTGCCAACTCCCACATGGGCACACTGAGACTTCCCATTTTGGGTCTTGGAATAACATAGTGCAGACTGCTTTACCCTGCACGTGGCTGCTCAGAGTTCAGCAAATTGCTCAGACAAGCAGATATCCCATGTGCCCCACATCTTCTCCCCCACCTGCTACGATGCAATCCCATGCAGGAAAGATGATGGCAAATTTTTATGCCATTTCTGCACCATCCAGGCTTCCCTGTACAGTGGCAAACCACCATGCTCAGTAACCGAGTTCATCATTTTCGCACTGCTGCAGCAGCAAAAAGAGTCGCAGTAAAAATGCAGCCCTACCTCCAAGATGGAGGCTAGGATACTGCTTTATTTACCCACTGCCTCTTGATTTTTCGTATGTGGGGAGGAGGAAGAAACAATGTTAAAGCTAAAAATAATTGTGTGCATCAACCCCCAAAATTGCTGAGGTTTTTTTTTCATAACTTCACAAGCCACTGTTTCAGGCACAATCTAAACATGGAAAAACTGAGCCTCACCACACTGACCCTTCAGCAGACACGTGCATTCCAAAATAGTCGGCAGGAACCAAAATTCTTTTGCAACTGTATCTAAGAATGGTTGCAATCCATGTAAATATAATCCCATCTATAAACATATAGTAACCAAAATGACACAAGGTCTTCTTTGTTCACAACTTATTCCAGTTGTCCTTCTCCACCAGCTGTTTTTCTTTCCTGTGTCATGGTTACCAAGCGCCCCTTCTTAAAACGAAGTAAAGAACACATTCATCTACCACCCAAAGGAAAGGCAGCTTGTCCGAGCCAATCTGCAGGCCAAATGGAAAGCTGTTTGGTGCTTTGCAGGTATCTTGACACAATTTCATCCAGATCCAACACTCTTCATGGATCCTGTTGGGTTTGCTTTTGTTGTAAGGCTATTTACTTGCTTTGCTACAGTTGACACTTAAGAAACCCTGTCCTCTTAACTCACCAAAATACAGTGACCTAGGTAAGGTACAGTTTTACTTAAGTATTTTAATTCAAAACAAACTCAACAAAAAACCCCATCCCCCCCCAGCTCCCTTGTTAAGGGTCTGATCCAGCTCCCATTAACGTCAAGAGATGATCTGCTACTGACGCATTCTAGCACTGGCTTGGATCCCCAGATCGTCAAAATTTAATTTCATCTGCCGCTTATGTTATAGAAACCAGCTAAAACATGAAGAACAACTGAAAACCAAGCTAAAGTTGACCGTAACTACAGCTGCCTGTAGCACCCTCGTATTTTAAACATCTGCAGCCCGTACAGCCCACGTTCGGAGCAGCAATGCGTGCACACACGCACACATATATGGACACTGAGTCACTCGCAGGGACAGACAGTATAACCCACAGTTTTGAAACTCAATTAGGAAAATACTAGCGGGAACTAACAAGAGCCACATTTTGTTATAAAAGCTAAGCTTTGCTGGACACAAACTAATTTAGGGAACTGATGACATCAGAAATACTGAAGTCAGATAATTATAGTGAATTACACTTCAACCCAAGCATCCAGATAGTCTTTCTGAAGAAAAAGACTGTGTTTTTTTTCTATTAGCAGCAGAGGTTGTCAGGGGTACCAGGTCTTCTCCCAAGAATTATTAACCCGTCACTGCACATGAGTAGTGTGTGTACAGCAAGTGTACATTTCAATGACTCACAAGGTGTGCAGAGACTGAATACCATGGGATTCAATCTGCAACCAGCACCATGAACATGAGAGTTCAAAAATACTGAACAAAATTCAGTTGGCAGAGAAACCAAATTACAGCTATTTGTGTCACTAAAAAATAAAGGATACATTGAAATAAAGGAAAATATTTTTACTCCTAAACAGTGCAAATTAACAAGTGCTAGGTCTATTTTAGTGCAGACAACATGGAACAAGAACCATCTGAAAACAAAATTTTTCTGTGTTGTCGACGCTCAAACAAGGGCTTGAAGCAAAAACCATAAAAAAGGAAGCCACGCGATCATGCAGAAACCCACTGCCTCAGCTAAGAAAAGAGACGAGAGAAAAAGGGAGAGGGAAAGGAAACACTCTTCCAGGAGTTCAGATCCCGAAGCCGGGCTGTGTTTTGCAGTCTCCCTGGCTGCTTTCCGATTTCCATCCACTTTGCCAGGAAACTGCTGAAGCTCCAAAAAGCTGTTAGGGAGACAGGACATTCCCAGACTGCCACTGTGCCATTTGGTGGAGCACTTGCTAATTTTAGATTAGAGGAGGAACACACTGGGACAATTAGCCAAGAGCCACTCCTGGCTCTTGCTCCAACCCATCTTCAGACAAAACTCACACCCAAACAATATGACCGACAGCAACACCCTTCAAACACAGATGGAAAGGAGGACTCGCTGTTCCTTTCTTGGCAGAATACATCTTTCAGGGGACGTGTGCATGTCAATCCCTGAAGCGATCACTGGAAAATAAAACCCTTTGCCAAACGGCACCTTATGCAGAAAACCCACCTGCAAGCAGCAAAGGTTGCAAAAGAGGAGGGGACCGTTTAATGGCAGAGGATGGGGAGGGTGGCCAGAGCGAGCTCTCCGAAACAGTATCTGATTGCACGCCCCAGGAGGTGATCTGGTTGCAGGGATAATACTATTTGGCATGAAATGGTTTGATGGCACTCAAAGCCATCTCCATGCCGAAGGACAAGAGCTCTTCCACCTGTTCCATCCCTCTGCACCGTCCAGCCTGGGGGATGGGTACAGCGGGGAGCAGACAGACCCGTCGGAGGTGGGGAAAGGAACCCATAAGGAAGCGTACACAAACATCATACCTTTAACAACACCACATCTACAGTCCTGTCCACCTTGGAGATGTCGCACAGGCTGTATCGCCTCTTGTGGCGTTCATACATTTTGTCCAAAAAGCCGGGAGCGGAGGAGCAGAGCCCACCATGAACCCTGCGCTGACCACGGCCAGGGATGCTCCAGACCTCTCACATCCGTGCTCGGAGGAGTCCCCGTGGCTCAGCACATCAGCCCGGCCGAGCCTCTCAACAGGAAAACGAAAATCCCAGAGCTGCGACCGGCTGATAGAAGTCTTCTCGGAACAGATTTGCTTATAGAGGCAACGCAGGAACTTATAGCAACAAAAGATACTCAAAGAGAGCTTTATACATATAGGATTTTGGGTTTTTTGCAGCTGCTAGGAATGGTCTCAGCCTTCCTGTTATAGTAATAAGAATAATATAAAAAATGTTTTCCAGACAACTTTGATATCCAAAAAGCACCAGAATCATAAATCCTGCCCAAAAAGAGAAAAAAAGCCAGATTTGTGCAGCAGGAACCCTGATGCTCCGCGAGGGAAGGCAGAAGGTAGGCTCAGTCACGACGGGTCTAATTCAGGAAAAAATGAAAAAGGAAAAAAAAAAAACAGCCGAACACCGGATCCCGGGGAAG